TGACCACAAATGGGAAGTAAGGGGCCAGAGATGGGGACCAGGACAGCTGTAGCCCCATTGGGGTAGCAGGGTCAGGGGTCAAGAAAGAGACAGCTATCTACTATATATTTGAGAATGTGTCTGTTCCCCAAGACATGCAGCTCTCCCCTGGATGTGCCCACTGCAGCTGCAGCAACCACAGACAGGCACTTCTCACCCTAGCTGCTGCAGTGAGAGAGGTCTGGGGATATCCACTCTCCCGAGGGTAGGCTGCATACTGAACCCTCATCCTCATTCCCAGTCCCACACCAGAGCAATGATTTCAATGAAGAAAAACAAAAATTACTTCAATTAAGGACCTGAGCAATGCCGGGTAAATTCTCTAGTACATAGAATATTTATTATTAATACAATGCCTTCAATGTACATGGCACTTTAAAGGCAAATAAAATGTCATAGGCCTTGCCCCAAGGAACTTAAAGGCTTCTTTAGTTTGAAAACACAACCAAAATAACAGCAAATCATAGTGGTGGAGGAAAGGAATTTGGAGGCAGAAGAATTTGTTAAACACGGAGAGGGTATTTATTGCTCTTGGAAGGGAATAGGGTTTTAGTGAATATCTACCTCCATTTGTACAGTTTGTGACTGCTACCATTAGAATACATAGAACTCAACATACTCAACTTGTTTACAATTGCAACATATTATTTAATCTAACATTTCTTTCACAATTTTCTGAAACAGTTAAATAAAATATTGTAAGTGTATATTAGTAAAATTATATTTAGACTAAGTACTCTCTGAAAATGAAAAGCGTTAAGAGTAACATATTCCTAGTTTAATCTTTTCCAGATGAAAAGGCTGCATCACTGAAGAATGTAATCTGTTAGTTGGTTTCTGGGAACAAAATTCTCCAGCAAATGTCACAAATACACAGCAGGACTGTCAGGGCAAAATACTGCCGGTGCATTACTGACTTAAACTGGGATGTGCAAATCAGTAAAGCCTGCCAGGTCTGTATTGACCTATATTCAGGTGAAACATGATTTTTGGTTTAGAGAGGTTTTACTGTCTTGTTGCAGCAAGAGTCCAGAATAATGTTTGGTGTCCAAAACTGGCTACTGATGTACTTGTTTCAGGTGGCTAGCAAAATGTTATGTACCACAATACATCCCATTCTGTCCATTGTCACCCAAACTACATGCGTTTCCCTCTGTCAAATACACAAGAGAAATGTGGTAGTGATTCATGTTCCTTGTTTCTGTTTGATAACAGTGAATTTGGGGCAAGGCCACTGTTAGATATTCATCCTACAAAAGTTGGAATTTCACCAGATATGAGGTCTTATTTTTGCCCTAAATGTTAGATGCTTTAAAATTTATTTTAACAGTTCGATTTAAAGGGATTTCACAATAAATAGCACTGTAAAAAAAGGGAGACTAAATTATTTTCTCTACTTTTTCATAAAGGCAAGTGTGCCCCTGGACAGTTTAACAACATTAGGATAACATTTTCAAGTCACTCTTCTAAATATGAAGGTATTTAGGCACCTAGCTTCCATTGATTTTTAACAGCGAGGTGCCTAAATACCTTTAAAAACCTGGGCCTCAGGTGCTTAGGAGCCTAAATCTTACTGCAGATCAATGCAACTTAAGTTCATAAGAGCCACATTTTCAGTCGTCTTTTGCTACCTACCCAAGTGGCTTTTGAAAATGGTATTAGGTAAAATTTTCAGACTTGCCTAAGTCTCATTGACATCCTCAGAGAGGTAGGCTTCTAAGCCTCAAAAATCACTTAGCCCAACTTCCATTTTCAAAAAAATGTTAAATGCTTCTTAAAAGTTACTTGGTGCTTTCATAGTGCTTCAAGAACCTGATATTAATGCCCATATCTCATTTAATTTCTTCCTCCTTCCTCAGTGATCTGTCATTTCTCCATTTCCAGCTTTTAATTTTCCATTTCTTCTTGCTTTCCTCATAGCATCATATCTTCCTGTTTTATGCTTCATTTACTGTAAAAAGTATACATATCAGCAGCACTCACATTTATTCATGTTCTCACTGTCAAAAAACAAAACATATCCATAGCTGTGCTGTTGTTGAAGAAAGTTAACCTTGACTTTAGTTTTTCATTCATATCAGTTTATAAATACAGTAAAACTCCAATTGTCCGGCATCCAGTGGTCCAGCACTCCCGATAGTCAGGCACCAACTGGAACCCGGAAGTGCTCCGGCTAGCTGGACAATTGGAGCTGCTGTGAGCCCATGGACACTCGCAGCTGGGAAAGGGAAGGGGAGAAGAGGGGGAAGGGGTTATACGCCTGTGATGGGTCTGCTGGGACCCGCACTGCGTCTGGCCACAGGGGTGAGGAGTGAGCGGGGAATGGCACAGCGAGGGGTGAACCCTCCGCCGTTTTGCTGGAAGACGGGGGAAGGCCCGCACAGCCGTGAGAGCTAAGTCCCCGAACTTGCCCCATTCCGGCTGCGCTCCGCCCCGCGCCGCCTCTTATGAGTTTCTGGGAGGGGAGCGGGCTTCCCACCCCCCCCAGACTGCAGTAGTTATTGCCGAGCACGGGGGTGAGGGGCAGCGCTGCGGGATCAACCCAGCAGCACCCCAGCTGCTCTGCTCCGCCACGCTTCCCCAAGTCCTCAGCTGGTCAATTTCAGCAGTGGCAGCAGCAGGCTTGTGGGAGATGCGCCG